TCTTTGTTCAACAACTGTTCTTTTGAAAAGTTCAAGCTTTGTATGTATGCCTAGCCATTTATATTATCTGAGACATTAGTTCATATCAGAATTTCTTCCTGTTATCAAAAAATCTGAAAATTAAAAGTCACAATTAAGACACATTTTGTAGAATCCATTTATTTTTTCCTTTTGTATTATTGACTATAATTATGGAAAAAACAACTTTAAAACAGAAAATACTTACTGGCTCAAGCAAGTTGTATGTTTCAATTGTTATGCTGAACTGCTGTTCTGTTGGCAAATAATATTTACCCAGTAATTCTCCCACACCGCATTAGATAGAAATAGCTAGCGTTGTGGTGCACATTGATATACATCTACAGCTATAGTTTCCCTACATTTATCACCTTAACATTCAAATATACGAGTTGTTTTGCAGGTTTTAGCCAGGTTGCTTTGACCGTGCAAAGCCATACACATCAGGTCAGAAATCACATGACACCAGGCCTGGCCTGCTGTGTTCTTCCAGCTCCATACTGTGTTATCTCTGACTCCAGCATCTGCAGTTCTTGCTATCTCCAGGTTATAGTCCAACAGGTTTATTTAAAAACAGAAGCTTTTGGAGCCTCCGTCCTTCTTCAAGTGTTAGTTAGAGAGGTAGTATCAGACACAGAATTTATAAGTAAAAGATCAAAGGGTCACACCACTGATGAGGATGTACTAAACAAACCGAAGATGCTGTTAAATCTTTAATCAGTTAGGAAGTTTCAATTGATTAATATGTATATGTAAATCCCTGAATTCTTTTAAAGTCACTGTCCTAAGAGAACTAAAGGTTTTATCAGTGTTAAAAAGCAGTGACATTTTGGGTCAGACAATGCATGATAGGTGTGAGGACTTGTTTAGAATCTGTTTGTGTTTTGGTTTGGAATCAGACTGGTTTTATTTCTAATAGAAATTTGTAAAACGCCATATTGACTGACTGTCCATAAACTGTGTGCTTTTTGAACAAAATAGAATGTATCTGCAAATACAACAAATGCCCGCCAAGGCGGACTTCAGGATACACAACAATGCAGAGTTGCCAAGCAGAGGCTGATAGCCAAGTTCGGTACCTATGAGGACGGCCTCAACTGGGACCTTGTGTTCATGTCACATAACAGGTGACCCCATCACACTATATACACACACACACACACACACACACACACACACACACACACAGTCTCTCTCTCTCGCCCTTCCTCCCGCGCACATACATACCCTCTCGCGCGCTCTCTCTCTCTATCTCTCTCTCTCTCACACACGCGCGCGCGCACACACACACATACTTTCCCTCACACACACACTCACGTGAATGTATGGGGTGAATTTGTATTTGCAGTTACAATCTATTTTGTATTTTGAAGAGAGGCTCCTGCACGACAGTTATAACAAACACCTGTCAGAATCATGATGCCAGCAGTATTGTCAGAAGGGTTAGTTAAATTCAGATCTGCATTGATCCATGTGTTGGTTAAATTCAGATCTGCATTGATCCATCCTTTCATATGCTAGCAACTGGAACTAAAAATACTTCCCAAGAAGTGGTGTGAAATGCTAATTGATTTATTCTCTTTATTGCTTCTCTGGAAGACTGTTATAATGCAGAAAATGCACACTATCTCAATGAGCAACAGGCTACCTCTGCACTAAGAGAAATTAACAACTTTTGAAAGATCCTATACTGTTCTGTGCAAAAGGCGATATAATTTGGAGGTTATGTGTGCAGCTGTTACATGTGAAATATTATTCCCTGGCTGCTGAACAATAAGTTTACATTTCATTGCAAATGAAAACGAAGCCCTTCAGTGCCCCCACCCCCACTCCCCTTCTCTTTTCTCTACCCATTCCCTTCTTCTCCCATTTCTTCCCCTCTCCTCCTCTCTTCTCCCTCCCTTATCCTTACCTTTTTGCTTTAGGCTGGTTTCAATGGCCACAAAATTTTCAAAGAAAACATAATATATGTGCGAATATGTTTGATCAAAGAACGACTTCAAATCACTTGCTTCAGAGTTTTCTACAATAAAAAGAAATAGAAAAACCATTAGGATAATCAATAATTTAAATTTAGATTAATTAAGCCACCAACAGCATATATCTATATTTAAGTTTTTTTTTAAACTTTATTATACAAATGAACAAAAGATGAACTAACTCCCAAATTTGGATCAACCAACTTAGCTCAAACCTTGAAACATGTATTTCCACTTCAGATGTCAGTAAAAGCTAACAGGCTAGTCAAAGAGGCAGGAATCCTACAGTCATATCTCTCCTGATTATAAATAAATGTCACAGTCATGAAAATATATTACACATCCACTAAATATTATAAAACCTAATCTCTGATGATTTTTTAGAAGTCAAAAATTATAGTAAAGCAGCAAATATTTTAAAGCTAATTCAGGCTGCGAACAAATAGACCACAGCCAAATATTACATTTAATGACATTTTTATATCAACAGCTCCATTTGAATTTCTGCAGCTACATCTCTCAAATTGGCAGCTACAAATGTGGGTGTCCTGCCTAGGTAACTGCCAATGCATCTATGGACTTGCTACTCGATCAGCCACAGGGAAGCTTTATATCATATTTTCCTCAACAGAGTATCTGATTTTTAGCTGTTGTGAAATCACAAATACTTTAAGCAAGTTATGAACAAGAAAAATAGCCATTATGACACTATGGATGAATAAAGAAGATTACATTTGAAATCAAAGGCGAAAAATAAGTACACATGAAATATATATAACAAAGAAGCAAATGGCAGTAGAGAAAATGAAATGGTCAGGAAAAGGTCAAAAAGTTAGGAAGGCAAAATGCCAAAATGAAATCAAGAAATATAAAAATAATAAAGTTTTCCAGTCACATAAATAGTGAAAGAAATGGCTAGGGAGGAATACACTATTCTAGACTCACTGTAAGACAATGACACAAAAGGCAAAAGTATAAGGTAATTATCTCTATTGGGTAATCACCGGGGAGGGGGGAAGAGAGAGAGAGAGAGAGATAATTAGAGGTGCCGTAGCCCCTGCAGTTAGCAAACAAAAACAAGGTTTGGTAAGGTAAGCAGAGCAGGGACTGCAGAGACAGAGACAATGAGTGACCTGGCCACAGTATTGTAGTACAGGGAGCCATTCCTCCAGCTATTTCTGTTTCTATGTGTTTCAGATCTCCAACATCTACAGTTCTTTGTTGCATATTAGTATGGGAGGAATAAGTTTCAGTTATTGAGGCACTGGCACCAGTAGTGCAGTAAAGGGAAGCTTCTCCAATGAGATGTGTTTCACTTGAACAATGCTTGGGGCTAGTGCTCTGGCAAATCAAATAACAAAGGCTTTAGAAGGGCATTGAACTAATTAGATCAAAAGAAGGATTCATAGACTTACAAAGCAAAATGATATGACAGTCTTGCCAGGCAACTATTTCAGTAATGATACCCAGAGTGGGACAAGAAGGGACAGGGTGTACAAAGAACAAGAACAATGAAAAATACAGCATTGGAACAGGCCCTTCGGCCCTTCAAGCCTGCGCCGACACATTTTGCCCTTCCATACTAAAACTGTCTTCACTTACAGGATTCGTAACCCTCTATACCCTTCCTATTCATGTATTCGTCCAGGTGCTTCTTGAATGCTGCTGTTGTGTCTACTTCCACCACCTCCTGGCAATGCATTCCAGGCAATCAACACCCATCAAGTGAAAAGCTTGCCTTGCACATCTCTTATAAACTTTCCTCCCTCGCATTTTGAACCTATGTCCCCTAGAAATTGACCCCTCCACCCTGGGAAAAAGTCTCATACTGTCCACTCTATCCATACCATTTGCAATCTTATAAACTTCTATCAGGGTACCCCTCAACCTCCTGCATTCCAGTGAAAATAAGCCGAGTCTATCACACTCAACAACTTCTCTTTCAATTCCTCCCACTTCCTACAGACAAAGGGGGTAGCCATGGGTACCCGCATGGGCCCAAGCTACGCCTGCCTCTTTGTAGGTTACGTGGAACAATCCCTCTTCCGTACCTACACCGGCCCTAAACCCCACCTCTTCCTCCGTTACATTGATGACTGTATCGGCGCCGCCTCGTGCTCCCACGAGGAGCTCGAACAGTTCATACACTTCACGAACACCTTCCACCCCAACCTTAAGTTTACCTGGACCATCTCTAACACCTCTCTCCCCTTCCTGGACCTCTCTGTCTCCATATCGGGCAACCACCTAGAAACCGATATTCATTTCAAGCCCACCGACTCCCACAGCTACCTAGAATACTCCTCCTCCCACCCACCTTCCTGCAAAAATGCTATCCCCTATTCCCAATTCCTTCGCCTCCGCCGCATCTGCTCCCAGGATGAGGCATTCCACTCCCGTACATCTCAGTTGTCCTCGTTTTTCAAGGACTGTAACTTCCCCTCCTCGGTGGTCGAGAACACCCTCAACCGTGTCTCCCACATCTCCCGCACCTCATCCCTCACACCCCGTCCACGCAATAAAAACCAAAAAAGAATCCCCCTCGTCCTCACGTACCACCCCACCAACCTCCGGATCCAACGCATCATCCTCCGACACTTCCGCCATCTGCAATCCGACCCCACCACCAAAGACATCTTTCCCTCCCCACCTTTATCTGCTTTCCGGAGGGACAACTCTCTCCGTGACTCCCTTGTCCGCTCCACACTCCCCTCCAGCTCCACCACACCCGGCACTTTTCCCTGCAACCGCAGGAAGTGCTACACCTGCCCCCATACCTCCTCCCTCACCCCCATCCCAGGCCCCAAGAAGACTTTCCACATCAAGCAGATGTTCACCTGCACATCTGCCAATGTGGTATACTGCATCCGCTGTACCCGGTGTGGCTTCCTCTACATCGGGGAAACCAAGCAGAGACTCGGGGACCGCTTTGCAGAACACCTACGCTCGGTTCGCAACAAACAACTGCACCTCCCAGTCGCGAACCATTTCAACTCCCCCTCCCATTCCTCAGACGACATGTCCATCCTGGGCCTCCTGCAGTGCCACAACGATGCCACCCGAAGGTTGCAGGAACAGCAACTCATATTCCGCTTGGGAACCCTGCAGCCCAATGGTATCAATGTGGATTTCACAAGTTTCAAAATCTCCCCTCCCCCCACCGCATCCCAAAACCAGTCCAGCTCGTCCCTGCCTCCCTAACCTGTTCTTCCTCCCACCTATCCCCTCCTCCCACCTCAAGCCGCACCTCCATCTCCTACCGACCAACCTCATCCCGCCCCCTTGACCTGTCCGTCCTCCCTGGACTGACCTATCCCCTTCCTAACTCCCTACCTACACTCACCTTTCCTGGCCCCATCCCCGCCTCTTCGACCTGTTTGTTTCTTCTCCACCTATCCTCTCCTCTATCCCTCTTCTATCCGCCTCCCACTCTCTCCCTATTTATTTCAAAACCCCCTTCCCCTCCCCCTTTTCTGATGAAGGGTCTAGGCCCGAAACGTCAGCCTCTCTGCTCCTATGATGCTGCTTGGCCTGCTGTGTTCATCCAGCCCTGCACCTTGTTGTCTCGGATTCTCCAGCATCTGCAGTTCCTACTATCTCTGATTCGAGTCTATCCAACCTTTCTTCATAGCTAAAACCCCCATACCAGGCAACATCCTGGTAAACCATTTCTGTACTGTCTCCAAAGAATCCACGTCCTTCTGGTGACAAGAAATATACCCAGAAAAACAGCAGCAATTAGGATCAAATTGCAAAAAAAGCAAAATTAACAGCTCATTACTTATAAGTAATATATAGAACAAAATAAATGAATTAAATAGAGGTTAATGGGCATAATCATGGTTAGAACAAGATCAAAGGTGAGAACTAAATATGCAGGGGTACGTAACTTTTCAGGAGGACAGGGGAAGAAAAGCGTGGTGAGGTGGCAACAGCAAGAAACAACCTTGGACCAGAAAATGTAGAATCCATATTGCTATAGGGAAATAATTAGAAAAGGAAGAGGATACAGGTGGGAGTAGGTCACACCTCCCCTTAGATTGGCTATACAGAGGACAGAGAATAAATCAACAGATATCGAGGGCGTGTAAAAAAGCCAGTACATTAACCATGGGTGACTTTAACCTTCAGAAAGAACGGGAAAATTAAATTAGCAGAGGTAGCCACACGGAAGGATTCATAGTGCTTGTCTGAGAGTTTCCTAGAATTCAACTAGGGACAAGCTTTTTTGAATCTGGGAGTGAGTCAGGTTTAATCAATGACCTCAGAATAAAATATTCGATAGCAAACAGTCAGTGTAGAATTTAGCATTTAGTTTGAAAGTTAGAAAATTGGGTTAGAAACAACTGTGCTAAACCTAAATTAGGGTAGTTACAATGGTATGAGGGCTGAGTTGGCTGCAGTGGACAGGAAAAGGGATTTAACAGAAAAGGCAGTGGATAACCAATGGCAGATGTTTTAGAAAACAGTTCATGATTCAGGACAAAAATTTCTTCCTGTCCATAAGATGATTCTCAGAAAAGGGTTAACCAACCACGAAATTAAGGATAGCATCAAATTGAAAATGAAACACATGTGACAAGGATTAGTGATAAACCAGAAGTTTGAGAATGTCTTAAAAGTCAACAAAAGATGACCAAAATAATAAAAAAGGGAGAAATTAAAACATGCCAGTAAGCTTGCAAGTAATGAAAGCAGATCTTAAGACCTTCTTTAAATATATAAAAAGGAAGAGCGGCACCAAAGCAAACAAGGGCCACTTAGAGAATTAATTGCGGAAATGATAAATGGGAAGCTATGAAGTGGGAGAGGAGTCTTTTCATCAGTCTTCATTATAATGGATACTAATAGTATTCCAGAAATATTAAATACGGGACAAACACAGGGGAGGAAATAAATACAAGAATTATGACTGGAGAAAGAGCATTAGGGCAGCTAAAGGGGCTAAAGCCAGACATCTGTGCCTGCTCAGTTGAATCCTAGGATGCTAAGGGAAGTAGCTACAGAGATAGTGGAAGTACTGGTAGCAATATTCTAGAAGCCA